GGAGACGAATAGTAAGAGGTGGGGTTGTAGAGGCCTGGAAGCAGGTTGATATGAAGGATGCCCGAAGGATGACAATAACTTTCCAATTCAGGAGTATACGGGCGTAAAAAATGTCAATGGATTTTTTATTCAAAAGTATACGGAGGTACAGATTTCAAAACGCATTAAATGAATATCAAATACAAAGAGGCGAGAAGTTGTAATGATTCAAGTAGCGCGTCAGCTCTGACAGCTCTGACGAATCAGTACGAAAAGGAGTGCAACCGCTGTATCTGTCTTTCAAGAGTTCTTGCTTTGATTGGCCGAGAAACCAAACACGCCGAGTAAATACTTTATTCGGGTGTTTGGGGGGCAATTGTGGGGGCCAAATAATTACATGCTCAAGAGGTTCAAATAGATCGCCAAGAATGCTGGTAAGTCTAACTCGACGTGATCAAACCCATTGAACAAGAACAAGGCCAAGTAAAATCTAGCCCGTGGACTGAATATACCGAATAGTTTCTAACGTACCTGGGGTCCCAGATATGATGATGAAGGGTGATGATGAAAGGGTGGGCCCCTGGAGAACAACATAAAAAGGAGAAGCATTAGCCAAAGAAAGGTATGTATGAATATACAAGATAACTTGAGATAGAAGTAAATTGAGAGAATATTGACTTGTCTGTTGGAGTGCTAATTCCAACACCCCCGACCGGAGTGTTCATTCCTTTTTTAGGTAGCAATCAGAGGATCAAGGATGTCTAACTTGATTTTGGAGTATTTCCAAATCACTTCACCACACAAACAAACAAAATAGGCTAAAATAGCTAATAAGACAAAATGTCACATCAAACCTATAATCATTTAACTTTTTCTCTTACGAACTTCACATCCAACTATAAAAAAATCCAATCATTTTCCCAAACACAAAAATTTTAGCCTACTAAAATAGCCTAAAACTAAAATAGCCTACTAAAATAGCATATTCCCTAACACCCACATGGATTTGGTTTGGTTTGGTTTGGCTTGAGAGGTAGACATTTGGAGGTGTTTGCTATTTAGATTTTGATTAAGAACTCTATTTTTGTATTGGCATGGGGTGCTCCAATGGGAGAACACCATTTTGTTGTTCCTCTTATTTTGAAGTTGTGTCTATAATAAAGGGAATCCTCTTGCTCAAATGCATGCTATCTACTCATTTTTTGTGTGTCATGGGGAAACAAAATTTTAGGTATACTTAATTCTCAATATTCCTAACTTAAGAGAGAATGATAAACGGAAATTATTCAAACAAAACATTATTTACACCGTGCCTTTAGACACAGGCATACACTAGTGATGTGATAAAACGAAATGGAAATAATATTACACAAATAAATAAATAAGTAAATATTCTAACGGCACTCTGTTATTAAATCAAAATTTGATTTTTTCTTGGCCAAAGGTCCATGCGTTCAAATACTTTATCCAAGATGATAAGCTCCTACAAAATGACCAAATTACCATGTATATATATTGTTTACCAAAATCAAACAATCCACTTTTCATTCTCTTATCCTCTCTCTCCAAATTACCATGTATATATATTGTTTACCAAAATCAAACAATCCACTTTTCATTCTCTTATCCTCTCTCTCTAGATTTTTTAGGGTTTCAAAATCTCCAAAGGCCATCGATGGCGCTCTTGGCCCTCCGTCGCCCATTCTTTGTCGTCTCTCTCTCTCTCTCTCTCTCTCTCCCTCTCTCTCTCTCTCCTTTTCAAACCCTAACCCTAACCTATCGTCAAAGTCGACTCCACGCAGTGGGGATGTTCACGGTGGTCCTGATTGGAAGTGTTCTTCTTTGAAATCTGACAAATATTGCAATGGTGGTTAGTTAGATCACCGCCATCAGAGCCATAGAAATCTGTAGCCCAATCGCCCTATGTCGCCTAAGACATCAACCACTACATTACCATCAATATGGACCTCTGAGTTAGATGATTGCAGATCTGTCACTCTCTGTATTGGGCAGACCTACGACGATAGATCAAACATTCTCAAATGGTTCTCCATCGTCTCTCTCTCTCTCTCTCTCTCTCTCTCTCTCTCTCTCTCTCTCTCTCATACACACACAAGAACAAAACAGAGATCAAGAGATGGACATCAGTGAGGAACTAAGGGCAGGGAACAAGCAAACATTCCACAAGTTCTTCAATCAAGATGTAACGTGACTCTTCTCTCTCTCTCTCTCTCTCTCTCTCTCTCATCTTTGTTTTTGTCTCTAAACCTTCTCATTTCTCTCAATCGCTCTATTTGTAAATTAGGAATTGAAGGACATCTACACATGAGATCAAAAACATGATGCATCATAAGTGCCGCCTTCTCATCTTCAATATCTCTCATTTCTTTGCTTACGAGAAAGGTCACTTAGCTTGCAGGCCTAAGAAAGCTCCAGATCCAAATTTTGTTTTTGTTTTTGTTTTTGTTTTTCTTTGTGTTGTGTTGTGTGTGTGTGTGTGTGTGTGTGTGTGTGTTCTTTTTACTATTATTATTATTATTATTATTATTATTATTATTATTATTATTACAAAAATTTCCTTTTTGTATTGTGGTTGGTAGTTGATCTAGATTTAGGGTTAATGTGGTTGAATATGAAGATGAAGATTGAATAGATATGGTCAAAAAGGCTCAGATCAGTTCAATGTCCTTTTTGTATTGTTGTTGGTGGTTGATCTAGATCTAGGGTTAATGTGGTTGAAGATGAACACAAAGAATGAACATATATGTTCAAAAAGGCTCAAATCTATTCAATTGAAAAGATAAAATTCTGACAGATATGAAAAATTGGTACAAATAAGAACAAATTTCAACATATAAGGAAAATATGCTCTATAAATTTCAACAGAGAGGAAAAAGTTAGCAATTTTAATAGATAGATAATTGTAATAGATAGATAATTTTAATATGTAATTGCAACAGATAGATAATTTGGTTTGGCTTGATATTTCAACAAATAAAAAAAAAATTGAATAGATAATAAAATTTGGACAGATATTTGAACAGATAAGGAGAACAAATTGAACAGATAAATATAAATTTGAACAAATAGGCAAAATAATTAAACAAATTGAAATTAATCTAAACAAATAGATATAAAATTTGAACAAATAGCCACCAAAAAGTCAACAGATAAAAAAAATTAGCATGGGTAAAATTGAAAATAAAATATCCCTCAAAACTAATAAAAGAATTCTTACCAAGCTATTTCACAAATGGTGGACCTCTCACTAATAAAAAATATTCACTAGACCTAATGCCTTATACAATTGCTAAAGTGGACTTGTCAACAATTAACTCATATTATAAAATGTGTCAATTGACCTGACATCAATAACTAAATAACATCAATGCATAATTTAAATTCATTTTATAGATCAACTTTATAATATACTAATTAAATCTTAAATAAGTATGAATAAATTTGTTTATCATTTTTCAAGATAAGTAGTTTTTCTCATTTAAATAACAGCAAATTACATTGGCCTCTCCTAAGGTTTAAAAAAATATTAGTTGCCCTATAATTTTGATATAATTATATTGACATCCCATTTAGTAAAGTTAGATGAATCAAAACTAATATAGATGTAAAAACACAAAAATAAACGACGTAAAGTACACGTTTTTGTATAAAAGAGATGACAACATTATTTTTTCATCCATATAACTTCAAATTATTGAGGGAAAATGGGACTAAGTGCTATATCAATTAAAATCTCAAAGGAACTCAATGTAATTATATCCAAATTATATAACTTATTATATTCTTTCTAAATCTCAACGGAAGTTAGTATAATTTACCCTTCATATAAATATTGTTCTTGATATTAGTATATGAGAAGGAAAATGCTATAGTACACACCCTTGGATCATATGCATCATTGGTTATGACCTTTGTAGTCTTTAATTATGATATATTGTGGTGTTAGTTATGATTTATTGTGATATTGATTATGACATTATTTTAGTTATAATCCAATAGCCCTTAATTATACTTTTATATGGTATTTAGTTATAACTTATTTTTCTCTTCTTTTTTTAGTTGTAACTTCCATAAAATTTAGTTATGACATCTGTGGCAGTAAACCCACAAATGTCTTTAACTTGCATATTTAATAGTGTGTACAATAGCTTTACTAGATGAGATGATGGGTATGCATGTAAAAACGGACTGGCCCAGCCCATCAACCTAGGGCCCACTTGTGCTTGTTTTTTAAAAATCAAGCCAGCTCGAGTCAAGCCTGTCCATTTTTTTTTAAAGTCTAGGCCTGGGCCCAAGGATAATTGGACTTCAGACTTGGGCTGGGCCTGGAAATGTATAGCCCACATCCGGGCTCAGGCCTCTTGAGCCGAGTCAGATCTCAAGCCTAATCGAAACAAATTCAAGTCAGGCCTAATCAGACTCGTATGAATTTTAGAGGATCAACCGTCTATTTTTACAACCCCAAATATCTCAATATGTAGGGACAATTCACAAAAGACAATGCGGTGGGTGGGTGAGTGTTTTCCAACTCTTTAATTATTTTTATTTTTAAAATTGCAGAAAAATACAAAAACATCAAACAAGCTGAAACAGCTGTTACTGTTCTGCATATATTTTAATCAAATATGTACGTCACCTTCAAGTACGCCGGGATCTTTGCCTCTTTATTGAGTTGGTTTGTCTTTGGATTTTGAACCCCCAAAAAAAGGAAAAAAAAAATAAATTGATGAACATTGCCTGTTGTATGATGCAGTTCTGTTTTCCTTATTTCCTTCCTATGGATTGTTCATATATATATATATATATTAATAAACAAGTGACTCCTAAAATACAAGAATTTCCACCATAAGGGAGACCTTGCAAGTGTTTCTAAGGTGGATCCTTTCTAAAAACATAATGACAAACAGCTATGGATATCAGATAGTTTCTAAACACGTGACAAATCTCCAAACACATAGAATGCATCAAAATCCTTATTGAGCACTTTCTCCCCCACTGTATACCCAAAATGTCCATTGTCTCAATTTACTTGAGCACATCAACAAAACCAACAACAGGGTATATATGTCAAGGCCTAAAAAGAACCAAGCCAGAAATAATGGAATTCGCAGCATTATTTTGCTAATATACAAAGAAAGCGAAACATGGTATACATCGGTAAAGAGAAAACAAACGAAGAATTCACTATTACCCCAGCAAGGGAGATCCAATTGCTTTAGCTTAACAGAAATAGGTACAAACATGGAACAACATAAAATGCAACAATTTTTATGTCATGCAGCAACTCCAGTTAAGAGTTGCAGGACTGCTTCTTTGGTAGGTAGGGCTGGAATCGCTCCTTTCTCTGTTACTGTGAGGGCACCACAAGCATTTGCAAAAAGAATAGCTTCTCTTAACCGCTTCTCATCCTGCCAGCAAAGCAAGTCAAGAGCAAGTTTTACTATTCACGGAAGTAACTAACAGCTCAGGAAAATTAGCTATGCAGATGAAGCAAACGACAACATCTATTTCAGATGGACAAAATGTTTATCCATATGCTAACAATAGTGCACGGAAGTGTATAGAGCCTCCAAGATTTTTAGCCTTGAGATGTGCATTATGCACCTCATGGTAAATTAAAAAAATCCCTCAGGGTTCCTAGCAAGAATGACAGAAATAAGATGGCCAGGTTTTATTTATGTATTTATTCATTTACCTTTTTGGGAAAAAAGAAACCACAAACAATTTTATGGGAAAATTCAAGTTTAATGAAGAACAGTGATTCACAAAATGATCTGCATAAATTAAAGCACGAGGCTTTTCCTAGGGTCAAGGACTCACGAGGTTAATAGAAGCAGCCATAAAGACCGGGTTACTCATGGAGAAATGTTTATTATGTTCCTAAAAATGTCATTAAGTAAAAAATAAGCCCTCCAAATATTTATGTCAAAATCACCTTCATGAAAATGAAATATTTCAGCTAGAAAAGACAATAAAAATGTTGGATTATTGTCTAAGATCAAAGGATACAGGAAAGGATTGCAAGAAACAAATGGAACATGCTAGAAAAATGACCTTTTGCGACCACATGATTAGCAGTCGCAAATAACTAATTTATTCTTTATTTTTATTTATTTTCCCCCCTTGTATTTGCCCTAGCCCTTTTTCACAAACACTGATATGGTTCTCTCTCTCTCTCGGTCTTAAATAAATCGTCGAAGCTCTCGCTTCTCAGGTTGCCATTGACGCTTCTCTCACCTTCGGCCGCCTCGCCTTCGCCCCTGTCCTCCTCAACCTCTCTTCCAGATCTCTTTCTCTCTCCTCCTATACATTCATATATTTGTGTATATATTGTTGATAGCTTGCGTCCTAGATGATTCTAGAGAGAGAATTGACAAATAGCTCTGAAGATCTATGGCGAATCGTTCTCTCTCTCTCGCATGCGTTCGACAAACCTATATACCTCTGCTCTCTTGCTCATTAGTTCGCCCGCTCGCCATCGTCATCTGAAGGTCTCCAGCAATACGAATCTCTCAATCTTGTTCCCAATCCCTCTCTCTCACAACCTCTCTCTATCTCTCTCCAGCCACACACACATATCTTAAGAGGAAGCCCTGGTTCGACTCATTGCTTTCTCATCCGCGTACAGGTATGTACTGGTTCAACTAATTTCATTCTTGCCCTATTTTCTTGCATTTTTCCATATCTGTTAGTGTATATCTCTCAATTTCTTCTTCAATACATTATAGTGTGCAGTACATTATTGCTTTTAACTTGGAATCAAGATTTCATTGATTTTCAGCCAGTTAGAATTTGTTGAGGCAAGAACTAGCAAATTCGAATTTGGAAGATAAAAGGTCCTCGTATTGAATTTGCTTGATTTATATGTGATATTAAATTAGTTCGTTGATCATGCTAACTGGATTTTCTAGTTGATTGTTTTGTTAGCATTGACATTGACATGAATTATTATCACTTGGTAAAAGTGTATTCATCATTGCTCTTGCTGTTGGAACTTTTGCTTGTTGGATGTTGTGAATGTCTTTGGTGATTTCTATAATCATAACTTTTTGTATATGTTTGGAGAAGCAAGGGAGGGAGGAAAACTAACTAATTTATTTGGTCCAATACAGAAACATATAACAAATTCTAGATTCTTACAATTCCTTTTACATAGTTGCTGTGCCTTTTCATGTCTAGAAGGTGAGAAGTTCGTGCTTACCTAAAAACAGAATTGTTAAGAGTCCCTGTATGCAAATTTTTCTCCATTGGAAATTTTATAAGCACTCAAATCTGAAGATGGTAACAAGTATGTCGAATTCCATAATTGAATTGGTTGTAAAAATGATAATTTAAATATAATAAATGAATACTTTGCTTGTTTGCTTTGTTTACTATATAGATTGTCTTAAAGCAGTTTTTCTATCATCATAGTGCTCACAAAAAATAAATAAAAATAAATAAAAATTGCGTTGCTCTTTGCATTTTACTTATTTATTGATTTTTTTTTTTCCGGAAAATCATTTCCAGAAATTTAACCTAATTATAACAACTTATAATAACCACTTTTACAGAGTACCACCTTTCACATCAGCTAAGGTTTTGGGTGTCACCTGCAAAGCCATGAAGCTATAGAAACAGATCCTGATGAAACTAGGATGATAGAAACTAGGAAGCATTTGAATTGTTGCAGATCCTGATGAAACTAGGAAGCTTTTGGACAAACTTCTTGCGTTAAAGCTTAATGGAGGATTGGGAACAACAATGGGCTGCAATGGTCCTAAGTATGCATCCAACTCCTCAACATATATATATATATGTCATTTCATACAACTGGATTGTGTATAAATGTTTTATCTTTTTATCTTGTTCTGGTCAAAGAAGTTATTTTCTGCTCCCTTGTAACTGATCTGAATGGCTTCATGTTTTTTAACTCTGTTTTGTTGTGGATCTATGCTGTTTACTATTGGAGTTAACATATTTGACTACCTACTAATTGTGATTACTTATGTAAGATATTACGAATGCTTATTCATCTTATCATATATTGGTTTGTTGCTAACATGGGTATCTCTATAGTTCTGATGATCAATTTTAGATAGAAAATGGTTTTATTTTTTCCCTCGATTCGCAATGGTTTTATTTTTTATTTTTAAACTTTTTCCCTTGGCACCCATTTGGATGTGTTACGTTCTCAATAAAATGCAAGATTCAATGTAGAAGAGTCTAACTCCAACTTTTAGTACCCGAACTCTTCACCTTGAAGTACACAGATGATAATTGTGTATAAAATTCATTCAATAATAGTGAGTAATATGATCTATGGATAAATATTATAGAAACTTGTGACTTGGCTTGGAAAGGAAAAAAATATCATTGGAACTAATAGTCACAACTATGTATTGGTAACCCCATCCCCTTTTTGGCACCAATTTTAATTTTTTTTTCCTTCTCATTTGTGGTTATTATCAAATGTATGCAATCTTTTGATACATTATACTCTTTGATTGTTTGTTGTAATACCTAATGGATTTGATGTCTTTTTGTGATGCAGATCAGTCATTGAAGTTCGTAATGGGTTCACATTCCTAGACCTAATTGTCATCCAAATTGAGGAGACTTGCAATTGGAAGTATGTTAAAGAGTTTTATGTTTTTGTTGTAAGTCTTTGGTGTTTGATCTAATTATAAATTATTTGTTGACATAGGAAAAGAAGCTTGTTGCAGAGATAACAGAGAACCGCTAAAACATGAAATGAGATACATTCTATTTTTATGCAAGATGCTCTCTTTGAATTATTCAGATTTATCTTATTTTTATTTATGTCTACATCCCGCAGGCATTTTTGGATTTACCACCGTGAGATTCTTGCATTCCACGTGCACTGTGTTAAGAATTGACACTTGACCTTGCTTTAGCTAGCTTGTTGGATTATGTAATTTTACAAGGAATTGCAGCTTTTATAACATTTTTTAGAGTCTAAGACTAAAGATGGTTTTGCCAGATTTGTCTCAAATAAATGGTTTGGTGCTATTGTTTTTAGCGGGATCTTACTCGGTAGATTTTTCTCAAAATATTAGTAGCTAGAAATCTATTATTGTATTATTTATAAAATATCATTGAGAATTATTTGCGATGGTAACAAGATGGTCGCTAAAACATTGTAGGCATTTTTTACTTTTTGCGACTGCTGTTTTGCGGTCGCAAAAAGTATTTGCCACCCCTACATTTGTGACCCCCATTTACCATCGCATGGGCCGTCACAAAAGGTGTTTTGCAAATGTATTTCTATTATTTGCGACGGCTTGTAGCGGTCACAAAAAATGCTTTTTTTAGTAGTGACACAAGGTCCTAATAAGGAACATAAAACAAGAAAATAGATAAATGATTCCTCCAAGCTCATGCAAGAACTAACATACCTTGTATAGATTCAAATCAGAAGCTAAACTGGTCAGTATCCCACCAACAAATGCATCACCGGCACCAGTTGTGTCGACTGGTTTAACTTTAATGCCACAAACTCTACCCTTCAATTTCTGAAAAGAAGTATTTTTGCTAATGGTTAATGTCAATGGATTCATAAGTGACTTTTAATTATATAGAAAATCAGCACAAACCAACATAAATCTACCACCATCAAACTGTAAAGGCCTTTCTGATTCCTAAAATAACGGGAATCAGAATGTTCATTTTGTCCTGTGATTAGGCATGAAAATCAAATGAAGAAAATCAGTCACATTTTGGTTTCATTTTATTGTTTACACAAGACAGAACATCATGTGCATCTATGTTACATGGACTTTAGTATGAGAGTATCAAGCGCGGTTGTGTGTCCAAGTGTCAAACTCTCATGAACCTAAATCTTAGGATATTGGAATATGCATCCAAAAGTTGGATATGGGCATGGGGAAAAGTGACACACACACACGCGCGCGTAAATATATTGCATTATCGTGTATAATATTCTTAGACAAAATGTTGTAAATTATGTTGAAATTTACTTGAAATTAAAAATTACTAAATAAGATTTAGGGAAAATCTAGAATTTCCCTCTCTCATCGATGTAAGAGGCTAGAAATTTTCTTATTAGCAAATGTGAGTTTTTTCTTCTACAAACATGGTAAAAAAAATTAAAGAATCCATGTGTGTAAATTGAGTATGGGTGTCGGACACATCCCACATTCTTACCCTTGTCATATTCAGTTAGCAAGGATATTTTGAGAAAAATAGACAAGTCCATCCAACACAAATGTGCATCCAATTTCAATTTGATTGAAAAAGAAAAAGAAAAGAAAACAAAGAGTAAATAGGTACCTTAGTGTAGTATCTGCAACCCTTAGACCCTTCAGTTACAAGCAAAAGCTTAAGGTTAGGATGAAAAAGCTTCTCCAGCACCACATTATCATCATTAGGATCATCACCCCCAGTCAAGAATGATATTTCTTCCTCACTTATCTGCAAGTTCAACAGAAAGCACCTGTGAATTTTATGTTACACAATGATTCTATTCTGCGTTGTACATCCAATGAAAAGGCATTCCAATAGCCCTTTAAAACAGAAACAACTTAAAAACCTCATAGCTAAATGTCATAATTTCAAAAATTATACCTTTATAACATCTGCTTGGTCCCATATGCTCATAATGCCATTCCGAGCAGCATCTTCTGATGGCCATAATAGCAATCTCAAATTCGGATCATAAGAGAGGAGGCAACCAGACTTTTTGGCAATTGCTAAAGCAGCCAAATGAGCTGACCTAGATGGTTCTTCAATCAAACTAATTGAACCATAGTGGAAAATCCTTGCCTGGAATTGAAAATAAAAATTATCAACCAAATCAGCATCTTCATAAAAGAGAAGTAAATCTTGTGTTACATGCATATTTAAACAAGGACAAGGGAAGCAAACCTGCTTAATAAGGTTTACATCAAGTTCTGATTCACGAAGAAGCATGTCGGCACTAGGATTACGGAAAAACAAGAATTCACGCTCACCATCAGCCCTAAGTGTAACAAATGTTAGTGCAGTCCTTGCACTGGGTTCAAACCGCATGCCAGAATTATTGACCTTGTTTTGTTTCAAAATATCAGCCAACATGTGCCCAAATTCATCCTCACCTACCTAATACAAATTACAAAGATTTCAGAGATATAATGGCATTTAAGCTAGGAGCGATTAATAATGAAGGACAAATGCTATGGCTACAACATACACAAAATGATCATAAATGTAAAAAACAAGATAAGCCCACAAACATTAACAGTGGTAAACTAAACTAGTTATGACAAGGCCGAGCAAAAAATTATGGATCCAAAATACCAATTGGTTATACGAGTTTCATAACATTCTCTGTGAAAGCACAAAAAGTTATTGAAACCACAGTATGGAATTATGAGTGAAAATCAATAAAGGGAATATTAAAACACAGACAATAGTAGCACATGACATGCTAGGAAGATGGAGAAGAATAGAAGGTGATCAAATCAAATGAACCTTTCCAATAAAAGCTGAAGAACCTCCCAATCTTGCTATACAAACAGCAACATTAGCAGGAGCACCACCGGGAGCTTTTTTGAAGGCAGGTGCTTCAGCCAGTGAAACTCCGCCTACTGTTGGCACAAAATCAATCAACATTTCCCCGAAGCAAACAACAAGCGAACTTCTATCTGTATTTGAGAGAAGAAACTTTAGAGTGTCCCACATGTACAAAATTGAATCAATAAGAACTGCTAAAAATAGATTGAGTACTACAGATCACTGAAAAGAAATACAACAGCCATTGACCAATCAATGCAATTGCTAGAAATCATATGCCCAATGCTCATATCAGTGTTATGGGAAAACAATACCCTAGTGATTATCCTTTTGGAACACACATTCCAAAATGTGATAAACTTTCCAGAACGGTGAATTTACGATATAAAGCCATCCCAATTTTTTTTCAATAGAAACCTTTAAGAGTTCTAAAGAGAGTGGAGTTTTGGTATCATAATTGTCAAAAATGGGTCATAATGCTCATAGAAATGTATCGTAACATGGTTAATTTGAAAAAGAAAAGCAACACTTTATTAGATGTCTAACTGTTCAAAGAAAATTGTTTCTATAAATACCTTAAATTCTAATATTGTAATAAAAAAAAGTCTCCTCTTGTTGTACCACATTTTAGACAATATGGCGCACCATATTCCTAATCCCATTAACGTACCGAAACTACCGACGTTCTAAGTAACATGGGCTCAAATACAGTAGGTAGTTTGCCCTGCTTGGTGTGGCCTGTCCAATGCCCAGAAGATTTCATAAAACTACAGATCAGCTACATGAAATACGAACTTCAAGCTGTTTCCAAACTTCAAACTAGCTTTATCAAAACCAAACACAGGTTCTTGCAGTAGGAGCCCATTTTGCCACTCCCAAAATTTCCCACTTCTTATGAATTGCACAATTAAAAAACTACCAGAACTCATCAATCCCATCTGGTACTGAACCCAATTGGATCCATTTCTCAGGTTTCCAAAACTGCCCTTCACAATTGTTATATTCATAGACGAAGTTCACAACTCATATGCCCTAAGAGCATATTCAATCTTTCACATTTTCTTTCACCAAATTTAAATTTGATCAAAAAGTGCTTAAAAAATTCATCTCCTATCCTTTCATCTATTGTTCATCAAATCAAAGAAGTGTTGGTTTTTTTCATCAAATGGAGAGCTCATCAAATCAAATTTGAAATTGATAAAATTTTAAAAAGATGAAGCATTGTAGATGATTTTTTTATTTTTTTAATCAAATTGACGAAAAGGGAACTTGGGTATAAGAGCGAAATTTTTTATAAGATTAGAATGAAAATTTTATAAAAAAGAATGGAATAGTTCATATCAAATCAAGGGTTTTACTCAAATTTAGAATCAAATTAGATGAAAAAATTTAAAATCAAATTAGATGAAAAAATTGGTGAAGGGGTTGGAGATGCTCTAAAAGGACTACAATCAAACAAACCCACACCGGAAACGTGAAGGCTTATCTTCTACTATCAGATTTCAAATCACACACACTTAAGCATATAAAAACGACAACCACAAAAACACCAATTATGCAAAAGATGTGAATATAACTGAACAACTATGGCTTTGTTTGGGCTTATTTTTTATTTTTATTTTTTAATTAGATGTGATATTTGTGAGAAAAAATAAAATGATTATGAGTTTAACGTGATATTTTGTCTTATTAATTATTTTAACTTATTTTGTCTTTTTCGAAATTTTAGCTTAAAAAGCAAAATTTTAACCTTTGCCAAACAAGGCCATTATGCTGACAACAATCACACATCAATTTTCCAGAGATCCCTAGGAAAGATTACAAATCTAAATGAAAAATAGAAGGCAAAGAAAAGCTACAACCTTGATCAGAAAAGAAAGATCGAGCATCTCAACAATAATTTAATATACAGAGGCTACCCTAATACACAAAAATCAAATCATGATCACAAAATCACACGCGAAACATGATTAGCTCGCAAATCCAAGATTTCATATACACGATGTCTGTGTGTGTGTGCGCGCGCGAGCGGACATGGACATATACATCGAAGAAATATGACGCGAAACATGATTAGCTCGCCTGAGCAAATCCAAGATTTCATATACACAGTATCTGTGTGTGTGTGTGTGGACATGTACATGGACATGGGAGAAAAATGACGAACCTGAAGTGGGTATTTCAGCCATTTGTCTGATGGGAGAGAGAGACAGAGCTAGATATCAACACGGAGTTCAAGAGTCGAAGAAAGAAAAGAAGAAACCATGTGGTGGCATGAGCACAAGAAGAGGATGAGTAAAGAGAGAAAAGAGGGGGATTTCTGAAATCTTGGAGAAAGAGGGGTTGAAAGTTGAAAACAATAAAATAAAATAAAATAAAAAGTGGAATGGAAAACTCATATATAGCAGCGAATCTATATAATAAAGTCCGATGGTTTTTGAATTTATCTTATACATATTTGTCTTATAAGGATATTTAGATGGCTTAAATCTATTCAAATTATAAAATAACGGGTAAGATATATTTTTCAAAAAATATCTTACATGTACATTTTTTATTTTTCCGCTTCTCTTTCTTACTTTTTCCTTTTCTCACTTATACATTCATGATCCCATGATCTCACATTCCTCTCTCTTTTCTTTTTATTTTTTTAATTTTTTCCTATTTTTATTTTTCTCTCTATTTTTTTTCTCTTTTTTGTTCACTTATTTTTATTCATGTTATATGAAAAAGTCTACGATTCTAGAATTATGAGCTATATTTTACTATGTGTAGTAGAGATTAAATTAATAAATTTTATAGTCCATAAATTAAATGAATTTGAACAATTAATTATTATTTTTAAATATATTGAATACTTTATAGATTTCGTAAATTTAGACCTCATATGAATCTTCAACATCTATATAATAAAGCAAGATGATTTTTTAATTTTTCCTAGACACATTTGTCCTACTAGGACATTTGGACGGTTAAGATCTATTCAAATTATATAACAACGGCTGAGATATATTTTTCAAAAAATATCCTACATGTACATTTTCTATTTTTCTGTTTCTCTATCTTACTTTTTCCTTTTCTCACACCCTTCCTTCCATGATCTCATGATCCTGCCTTCCTCTCTCTTTATTTTTTTATTTTCTCCCGTTTTTATTTTTGTCTCTATTTGTTTATTTTTTTTATTTTCTCATTTTTGTTCAATATATTTTACACATATTTTTATACATACAATTTTCATATAATTATATAAGCAAAAGTAATATTGTATGTATGTCCGTGAAAATTGTATGTATGCTAAGTACATCTATCTATGTAGCTATTTATTATATAAGTAAAATCGAGTTTTCGTAAGGAGTTTTGTGAGAACTCCAAAATTTTATAATAAATTTGTAATTTTATCAAATTAAAAAATAAATTTAAATAATGTTGGAATTACAATTATATTCTAATTCTAATATTATTTACACCGTACTTTCAGACACAGGCATACGCTAGTACTCATATAAAGCTCTAAATATTTTATTAAATATATATATATATATATATTTTATGAATATAAAAAAGCGAAGTTAGTCTACAATGCGGTCAAACTTTTTGACTTGCAACGTGACAAGCGATTCAAATAGTGCCACGCATGCATTTGAAGCAGTATTATATATGTATTATTGTCAAAGAGTAGGTTACATAGTCCTCTTTCGAAACCTGTAGGAAAGTGATTATAACTTATACCCTAACAGCTTATAATTTATAATTGTGAATATAAGCTGATTTTTGACTTATAAATTAAGTTTCTCCTCCCCACTCAAAGAATAAGTTAATTTTTTTACTTATAAAAAATTATAAACTATATTATTAAACTGAACCAAACACATCAAAATAATTTAAATTAAACTAAAAATTAAAATAAGTTGAAAATAAACCCTACCAAATAATACCGTAAAAAGAGTCGCGCCAACCATTATAGAAAAAGGTGGGCTTACATATCACGGCTGTATTCATTGAAATAAACCACCAGCGTATATTGTGTGCTATGTCGCAGCCCACTTTTGACTACATTAAAATCTATATATTATATGAGGGAAAATTGAACTTCTCTCCAGAAAAATATTTTTATAATATCTAAAATTTTTTAATATTAATTCAGAAAAAATTAGTCTAGAGAAATTTCAATTCCAAAGAAATTCTCTCCAGAGAAAATTGAACTTCTCTTCAGAAAAATTATCTGGATTCAAACCAGATAAATTCTCTCACTGCACAAATTTCTCTGGCTCTTTTCTAATTTTTGCATGCCATTTACACTTCACAATTAGTGATTAGTATTTTTGATCCACGACTAATTAGTATAACAATTCGAGAACATGTATAACCACTTAGAATGGTAGTTTTATGACCCCTTTTTTTTTTTGTGTTAGTAGAACAGTCAAAATTTGGTCTTTTAGCTCTAGTTAGATTTAGAAACCTTACCTCCCATATTTCCTAATCAGTGTGTTCTAATAAGGGGTCTAGATTGAATCTCACAGACCCACAAAAGAGAGTTGGATCATGTGGAATGACCCCAAAGTGTGATCTAAGGTTATGAATTTTCTCCAGAGAAATTCTCAACCCAGAGAAAATTCTCCAGAGAAAATTCTCAACCCAGAGAAAATTCAATTCAAATGAAAAAAAATAATCGAAATTGATGTTCTGTGAGCTAAATTACCAGAGAAATTCTCAACCCGGAGAATAGTTTTGCAAAAATAGTTTTGGAACTTTTGACAACCCAAATCAAATGGACAAAGCATACCCATTAGCAAAATACATTGTCCAACGGCTTAAGTTGCCTAGCTATTTTAGTGATAAAAGTTTTTGCTTGCTCTCACCATTGCTGGGGAAGAGATCGTCGGAAATGGAGTTCTCGGAAAGGCTTTTAGTTCTGGGTCTCTGGTTTGGTTAACCGGTGGTTATCACCTTCAGTTTTATAACTGTGAGAGAGCTAAACACTATCTGATATCTTTGCAACACTTCTTGATGATTGATAGGCAGATCAATGCGTGTTTCATTGGTGTTGAAGGGAATGTTCTGCTTTGAGAGAGCCTCCCCCAGTTTTAGGGGTTCATTTGGAGAGAATTCCTGGTTAAAGACAGTAAGATATTACACAAAAATTATGATCATATATGCTACTGTAAAGTAACAAATCTAAGATACAAGACAATAAAAACCACTCCAAAGAATATTTACCTGACATCGTGTATCATTTAGACCACACACAATTTTTAGATGCCTCTTTAGTTTCGAAAGTAGCTGTAGCGCAATAGCCGAGAGTCTCTCGATTTTCTCTAGCACACATTCTTTCAGGTTTGTGTTTCTTCTCTCTCTCATCTGTTATTATATATATATATATATATATGCTAGCGGGGTTTGCAAATGCGACAATCTATAAAGCCCGGCTACGAGCAGAGAAGGGTCGGAGATGGAATTGGCATCCTTAATCTGATCGACGGAGACGAGACCGGCGTAAATGGTGTCAGCGATGGAAGAGAGCGTGTCAGGAGGGCGGGGTTTTGTAGTGGGTGGATCGCGGATCCGGGCAGGAGAGTAGAGTAGAGATATTTAGGGACCTTAGATATCAAAAATAATTTTGTGGATCTCTTTCATTACGAAAAGTGGGAGAGGGACCTTAGACCAATTTTTTCATTTTTAATCCACAAGCCGGGTGGGAAGTTAAATATTTTTTTTTTACTTTTATTTTTTGATTTAAAAAGAAAAAAATTTAGTATTTATTGACTTCTCTTATACTTAGGATTATTTTGGGAAGTGAGTTAAAAGTTACTTCTCAGCTTTTAATCCACTTCCCTCTTACATAAAAAAATAAAAATAAAAAATCAAAAAGTAACTTTTAACCTTCTTTTCAAAACACCCCTTACTGCTACACCTTATTCAACTTCTCTCATACACTATAATTAATGATGAAATTATTAAATTATTTTTATAAAAAATCTAAAAAAATAATTTGTATATTAAAAAAAAATCTAAAACAAATATAATTTTTTGTTAAATCTATTTATCTATCTATATATTATATAAATAATATATGGGGTTTCTAACCACAAGTTTTATGAGAACTCCAATATCTTAAACTAAAATTCTAATTTTTTGATTTTAAATAATTAAAAAAATCTTCGATAGCTCTCATTCAAGCAAAAGAAAAAAAAAATCTTTAGATTTATGACATTCAAATGGAAAGTATATCAAATATATAAATAAAAAATAGAAAGCATACTAATCCATTTCAAAATTCAAATTTTAGGGACACAAATATGGAAAATATTTCATTAATTTAAATTTAAAATTATAATGATTTATCCCATAATATATAAGTTTTAAATAATGATCTATTCTATGATTTATCTATATATCTATATACTATTATAATTGCAAAATACTGTCATTTCATTAAGGTTGAAAGTTGTAATTCTTTTTTTTTTATTTTTTTATTTTGTTTAAAAATATTTAATATCTTTAGATTTATGACTTTTAAATGGAAAGTATATTAAATGTATAAAATAAAAAGTAGAAAGTCTATTAATCCATTTCAAAATTCAAATTTGAGGGGCACTGAATTTGGAAATCATTCTATTAATTTAAATTTAAAATTATAATGATTTATTCAATAATATATAAGTTTTAAATAATGATCTATTCTATGATTTATCTATATATCTATATATTATTATAATTGTAAAATATTGTCATTTTATTAAAGTTGAAATTTGTAATTCTTTTTTCTCATTTTTTTATTTTGTTTAATTTAATTTAATTTAATTTAATTTAATTTTTTTGTTAATACGTGTTACAATATGATTGGTCTATAAATTAATTTTATATTCTTCAAATAAAATTTTAAATTTGGATTCTTATTTAAATTATGTTACTATAATTGGCATGAAATCAATATTCATTCCTCAAATTTTGCATCATTTATTAAATTATAAAATAAAGTTTCAAATTTAAATTTTTCTTCAAATTATATTACTACAATTAGAATGAGATCACTATTCACATGTGTCATAATATTATTGGTATAAATATAATTTGTCTTAAATATATGTGTTCAAATTATTAATCGCTATTAATTTGTTTTTCCTTTTTTGTTTTAAATTTTATAAAAAAATATTATATCCTCATAAACTAAAGACTTGAACAACAATATTTTTTAATATAATTTTTTTTTTTTGACAAAAGAACAAAACATAACTTTTTTTTAGTACTTACCAAACATGGTGAATTTTGTTAGATTTTTTTTTTAATCTCAATTGTTGATTAAATAAATTAAAATAAAGAATAAAGATATCTTTGGCTTAAATTATTAAAAATTATTTTTTCTAAAATAA